ATCTTGATCTGAGTTCCTGCCCATTTGCCGGGTATTCAATGGATGCACAATGGAGGTGTCAGCTGAATACGGTGATGATTTTGGCCGTTCCCGGAACATCTGCATTCCAACCACGCGTCATCCACAAACTCGGTCTAGTCTACAAGCGTTTCGAAATCTCAACGACCAAATAACGGGCGCGATGTGACATTTCCTAACCTTAAAGGTAGACCAAAGCGAGTTGCGCATTCGTCATTCACATATGTGAGACAATCCATTACATTGCTGCCCTTGGGCTGTGTAACCCACCATGCCTTCCAATGAGGAATGCCACTCAAACCTTGGGCAGCATAAAGTCGCCAACCTTACCCAAAACGGGAGAGCTGAAGCCGTTGGTCTGGAAAGTCTTGACGCAGGGGAATTACAGGTACGTGGAGGAGGTCTTATGACGGCAGTTGCAGATCCGTCTGATGCGTGCCGACTCTGTCATTTAGGCTGAATGGGACTCATCAAGAACGCATCGTCAGTATTGGATTGCCACGAAAAGCTGTGAAAGCGTTGGAAGAGGTGAATCCATGGTCATTTTGGTTCTCACTTTTTCGACTGAAGAATTCCCTGCATCATAGTGCTTTCACTGCAGACTACTGCAAATAAATACAGTAGTTGTTGATGATTGATCCTTGCGAGAAAAAAGTCAAAGATTCCCAAACGTATTTTAGGGCTGCGGATTACAGAAATGCGGCAACGACAACTAGGCTCATGTCAGTAACGTTGACGAAACTTGTCTAAGGGCAAGGCTTGACATCGAGGACCTGCTACGAAGAGAGTTAAGCGACGTGCGTAGCACGGCCGGCTTTGTCACAAGAGTTTCTCCGTAGGATAATCCGATCATAATGACAGAATGGCTTACGAAGGAGTAGAAGAGCTGTAAATCCTGATGTAGTGCATCTTTCAGTAAAGATCCCAATTGCACTCGTTTAGTCTTGGAGATGAGTACTGTAGCGGCCCCAGCAGTACAAAGAGTTTCTATACGGACACGGCATCCTGGTTCTCTTCTTGAAACCCTATGATATATTCCACTTGTTGCTATAATAAATAATATTAAAGTTAGGAACATGGTGGTTTTGAGGGTAGGAAAAGGTAGGAGGTGCTTCGTTTTTAACTATTACAGTGTAATCACAGTACATATACGGTTTATCTTTAGTAGTAGTGAGAGATAAGATAAGGACTTCAGTATGCTTCGAATGCCGGAACTTTGATAATCCGCACCAGATAAACTTCTGACATTTACTGATCTGTCAACTTCACACTGTATATAGGCTTGCCAAGCGTTGTCGTACTGCTGCAGGGTAATTGCAGACCATTAAGCCTACGAATTGCTAGAATGAGCGGCATTCTGAGGCAAGATGAATCGATCAATAGCTGTTAACAAGACCCTGTTTAAATTTATTTGAGTTTCTCCAAGAGACTGGTTTCATCTGCGCCTAATCATTCTACCTGAGATCATGTGTTCATTGATCTTTCTTCGGGTACTCACTCTATCAACCTCCATGTCGGTATGCTGAAGTTTTGCCTGAACATCTCACAATCAGTTTCTCGCCCCAAGTCCCCAAAAAGCTATCATCAATGTTACTATTTAATCGCATTTTGGTCGCAGAAGATTGCGAAGAGCTTACCATTATTACAATCAATGACGCTGGTTTTTCGGATTGATAACCCGGGTCCCTGCACCCGTGGCTTTCGTGGGGTAGCGCTTTAATTGCTCACATATGAACCAATCCTGGACACTTCAATAAGTGATCACATGCTCAAAACATCGAAAATGTTTATCTCAAACCGAATATTTCTAAAGATCGAGATACACATTCAATTGCAGCGGAATCTCCCATGTTCTAGGCTCTGACAGGGCTTGGCTTAGGTGCTACACCTCCGCGGTGCAGCAGTGTAGCATCGTCCACTGATGTGTCAAATGATGAATTAATGCCCTGTAGCGGCCACTGTTTCTCTTATCAAAGATACCGCCCTGCAGGTCGCTTGGCCGCCGGCCAGTGATCAACCGTTTCTTATTCTCTCGCCCTGATGTTTGCGCTGATAAGGGCGCATTCTGGGCTGGGGTTCTTGGCCAATTGCGTCCGTGCGTTCTTATCATTGCCCCCATGGGGAATTACTTATCGTGCAGTCTTCACCCGAAAATTGCTTATCTTGAGAGCCTGAGAGGCCCGCCGGCACTTGTACGGCGGGTTTATTATCTTGAACGCCAAATCATGCACCCCAATATCGATGGGTTTATGCACTCCTCTCGAAGCCTAATCGGGACAGAAACACTTCCTTTCTCGCTTTGACCTATGAGGGCCACCGAATTCCATTAGTCAATGCAGCAATCACAGGCACACATTGCAGCTCATTAGCGAATTAGGTTTAGTGAGGGTGCATAATCTGATTGACACGGGTGCATGATCCGGCATTGCATTATCTTAGGTTTTGCAAAACGGCTGTCATGGCTGGATATATAACAATGATGAAGATCTCCATGAAAATAATTGTGGCAAATGCTCTCGTGATAGACTCTTGAATCCTAAACACCAACCTTACTGCAAATATATCACAATGGCTGGTGGTGGCGGTCCTTCATCCGGCACAGTCGAGCCTCCTTTGAGCCAGGCCTACGGCTATGGCATCGTCGTTGGTCTCGGCTTTCTTTTCGCCCTGGGCATGATCTTCACGACATGGGTATTGAAGCGGTACAACCATGAGAAGCAGACCTCGGAAATGTTCAACACCGCTGGCCGAACGGTCAAGTCTGGTCTTGTTGCTTCAGCTGTTGTTTCTAGCTGGACTTGGGCTGCTACTCTCCTTCAATCATCCGGTGTTGCGTACCGATATGGTGTCTCTGGACCATTCTGGGTAAGTCGACTGTTTGTGTATCGTGAGACGTGAATTGTGACTGATAATTGCAAAGTATGCTTCTGGTGCTACCGTTCAGATCATTCTCTTCGCCACCATTGCCATTGAGCTGAAGAGAAGGGCGCCCAATGCGCACACCTTCCTCGAGGTCATCCGAGCTCGATATGGCCGTATCACTCACTGCGTCTACATTTGCTTCGGTCTTTTCACCAACATTCTCGTCACTGCCATGTTGTTGACTGGTGGCTCTGCTGTAGTCACTTCTCTCACTGGCATGCACACAGCTGCGGCATGTTTCTTGCTGCCTCTCGGTGTTGTTCTGTACACCATGTTCGGAGGGTAAGTTGAAACCGATTTTGATGCAGAAACAAGTCTAACACGCGATTCAGTATCAAGGCCACTTTCTTGACAGACTATGTCCACACTGTTATTATTCTTGTCATCATCCTCATTTTTGCGCTCACTGCCTATGCGACAGGAAGCGAACTCGGATCACCTGGCGAAGTCTACGATGCGCTCACCAAGGCCGCCAAGACTCATCCCGTTGATGGCAATGCCGAAGGTTCATACCTCACCATGCGATCTCGCGAGGGTATCATCTTCTTCGTCATCAACATTGTTGGCAACTTCGGTACCGTCTTCCTGGATAACGGTTACTACAACAAGGCCATTGCCGCTCACCCCGTCTCTGCCCTTCCTGGATACATCATTGGCGGCCTTTCATGGTTCGCCATTCCTTGGCTCTGTGCTACAACCATGGGTCTCAGTGCTTTGGCCCTCGAGACCAGCCCTTCGTTCCCTTCGTACCCTAACCGCATGGATCCCGCTGATGTCTCAGCTGGTCTTGTTCTACCGTACGCTGCTGTTGCATTGTTGGGCAAGACTGGTGCTATCTGCACTTTGATCATGATCTTCATGGCTGTTACTTCCGCAACCTCAGCTCAGCTCATCGCTGTTTCCTCCATCTTCACCTATGATGTTTATCAGTAAGTCTCTCGTGTGCGAAAATTCTTATCTTATGCTAACGCTCCTCCAGGACCTACATCAACCCCCAGGCTTCCGGCAGCCGACTTATTGGTGTCTCGCATACTACTGTCTGTCTCTACGGTCTCATCATGGCCGGTTTCAGTGTTGGCCTTCACTACGCTGGTATCAGCATGGGCTGGCTGTACCTCTGGATGGGTGTCATGATCTCTGCAGCTGTCATCCCAGCCACTCTGACTCTTCTCTGGAAGCGCCAGAACTGGATTGCTGCCGCGGCGTCTCCCGTCCTTGGCCTTTTCTGTGCTCTCATCGCCTGGACTGTCACCTGCGCCAAGGAGTTTGATGGTGTTCTCAGTGTCGATAACCTCGGTTCCAACAACCCCATGCTTGCTGGCAACGTCGTCGCCCTGTTGAGTCCCCTGATCTTCGTGCCGCTCTTCACATTCGGCTTCGGCTCAGACAGCTATGATTGGGCTTCTATGGCTGCTATCAAGCAGGCTGATGACACCACCAGCGATTCTAATGGTGACTCCGAGACTGCTGTCGTGACCAGCTTCGCTGTCGCTCCCGAAGAGGACATGGCGAAGCTCAACAAGGCCTCAAAGATCGCCAAAACAATGACTGTCTGCATGACAATCGCTTTCCTGATTCTCTGGCCCATGCCCATGTATGGAACATCTTACGTCTTCTCCAAGTCCTTTTTCACTGGCTGGGTTGTTGTTGGTATTCTTTGGCTGTTCTGCAGTTCCATCGCTGTCGGTCTATTCCCTCTCTGGGAAGGCCGACAAAGTCTTATTCGTGTCTTTAAGGGTATGTTTGGAGTGGGAGGATCAGATGTCACAGAGGAGATCCAAGGGAAAGCAGTGCACGAGGAAAAGATTGATGAATTCGAAAAGCAGTAGTCGATAGGAGACTGGGCATAGTTTAGCTTATTTTGGCATCCCAGGATATTTATTAGTTGAAAAAGTGTTAATAAGCAAGGTCTTACGTCACATGAGTCTGTGATCGTGATACAAAGTGGAGGCGTGATTTATGTCCAGCAAGCTGTTACTACTTACTCTATTGCCATAGCTAGACCCTGGTCATCTTTTACAGAGCCTTTCCCCGACAATTATTGGCAGACAATATCCAAAATGGTTAACATCAACCTGGCTTACAGCGCCCCCATCAATCCAAGCGGTGCTTCTCCCATCTTGTCAGAAGCTCAGATCTGGAATGGCCTCAGGCGCAAAGTCCGGAAAGCCCATGAATTTGTGGCTCCCATTCTTGAATGCGAAGTACTGAGTGAAGAACAAACAGAGTCAGACACAAAAGTCACCCGGCAAGTCGTATTTGACAAAGAAGCGCGAGGTAGCAACGACAATGTTGTCAAAGAGGTAGTCTACGAATTTGCGCCAACGCGCGTCGATTTCTATCAACCTGATGGTAGCAAAATCTTCAACATCGTCAGTGTTGACGAAGAGGGTAACTTGATGATGACTTATGCTTTTGAGTGGCGACACCCGGGGGTTGAGGCAGAGGGCGAACCGGCCAAAGAGTTGCGCGACGAGTATCTTAAGGTGACCCTTTACATATACATTCTACAGTATCGAAGCTGACATGATATGTCAGATGGCTAAGGGAGCCGTGGAGGGTACTATCACTACTATTCGAAAGTTGGTCAAAGAAGGCGAGCTTTGAGAAAGACTCGGCCATAAGCAAGGGGTTGACACTATCGACTTTCCAGGTTTCCAAGACGGGGCTCACCGCAAGGGGGTATCAATCTATCATTCGGGAAATACCTGCGAGAAGGACTGTGCTATACTAAGAGACTAGAAGCCACTGAAAGAGATATCGCTTGCTAAAGGAGTGTTTTCCTAACCCTTTTTAATCCTCTGAAAGGATTGGGCCTTGACCGACACTAATAACAGAATCACAACGTGATCGACTGCTCTCGAAAATACTTTCCCTCGTTTTCAGAACTCCTAATTGGAATGATCCAGATATCGTATGGAACATAACCGCAGTCGGGGCCAAGGCTATCCAAATCATTTCTGATCAGGCCTTTGAAGCGAACTTTCATATCCTGAAACGCAACATCGTCGTTTTTATGGACTTTATCATCCCAACTCCTACCTTCCCGCTGAACAACAAATCGTACAGCTTCAATGTCGTTAAAGCCATGCATAAATTGAAACTCCGACATTGGCATGGGGAGGAATCTGTCGTAATGCTCCCATAGCGTGAAGTTTCCGGGTGACCTTTCAACACTGTATTTAATATCGTATCTTGGCCTTCTAGTAGTAGCCTCTGGTGTATGATATATAGCCTGAGGGAGAGGAGGGGGAGGCATAGCTCTCGTCGCTTGATTTGCCTCTAGTACAGGGGTTATATCCTCAGTAGCCAGCTGAGTCCTATCAAAGGGCGTTGGCTCCGACGTGGCGCGAGGGTTCTGCGGAGTTCCGACATGAGAAGCCCCAGGAGTTTCAGTTCCAAGTTCTGGGCTAACACGGGATCCCGGATCACTTTGTCGACTTGGAGGTGGCGACACAGATTGAGAATCATCCTCCGTGTCAAAGGTTGGTGTTTCGACAAAGTTTTGGCGTTGGACTGGCCGACAGCTGCGGCCCGATGAAGTGTATTTCTCAGTGAAACCATCTATAGCTCGAGAGACTGTCTCAGACACTGCGGTGGCATCTAGGCGTTCAGTCATCTGAGCAACAGGGGCAGTTGGCGCAAAAGAAACTGCAGTTTCGTTCGGAGTATTTATGGCAGTTGTGGAGGCGTGAGGTGGCGGTGTAGTGTTACACCCGTTCCCTGCCGATGAAGTCTGATATAGTCAGTTGATAACACTTTAGGCATTGCTTCTGTGGAAGAGTAAGGTACTAGTACAGAGAAAACTACCTACTTGGTTATCTGGTCCCCTACTGCGTGAATAAATATGGTCTACGTCTGGAAGGTCATCATCCGAATCGACGTCGTTGAATGGGTCTGTATCCATTTCCTCACTTGGAACTGAAGGTGATATCGCGTGACTGACAGCAAACAGGTTAGCTAGAGTGAGGAATTCGAAAGCTGAAAATACCTTTGTCCAAGTGTTTGAGATCTCTGCCTCTCATGGCGTACAGCTTGTTTCTTTTTGGATGGTGAGTTAAGACCCTTCTGGTGTTCTTGCTGGTTGTGACGAAAAAAGAGTTGGGCAAGCAGCTTGATGATTCTAACATTTTGTCAGCAACGTATTCTTGCAACGGTTTGGGAGCCCTACTTGAGATCATCTCGTGGCCAGATCAGTGAGTCCTCAGAAGAAGAGATCTCGCTGGCTGGCCAAAATTGCTTTCCTCGGCCTTCAATGACTGCAAATTTCTTCGCCATAGACTCGAGCTCAACTCTCTGTCTTGCATCGGTCCATTTGATCAGGGAAACCCCAGTCATCCCATCGCTGGTCTTATGCCCCTCAATAAATTTCTTATAAGTCTGCACGAAGAATCGGCTGGAGGGATCGGTTCGCGGATAACCTAATGCGATTTGGAGAGGGGTTATTTTTGGGATGTCACCAATCTTCTCCTTGCTCATGGTTGATGGCGACAGTTGAAGAATACTGCGAGTCTAGAATGCAAAGTTCTGCTTGGTTGAGATCCGGATGTATACTCAAAACTCAAAAAATACTAATAGGCCAAGACCCTGAAGGAGTAGAAATGCATTTCCGTGAGGGGAGGCCTCTGCCTGATTTTATGGCCAATTCTGCCTCAGCTGAACATCCTGGCCAAGCCGAAACCTGGGGAGAAACGTACATGAACCTTAAGCGCTCTCAGAAAACGTCTAGGCCTCTGAAGTTGGCCTCTCAGCCTCGCGACGAAGCGTGTTATGGGAACAAACAAAATCTATATGTTTCCCCTTCTTGAGTATTATGAGCGTCTTTAATGTCATTTTTTGGCATCAAAATTGAAGTTTTATCAATTAAAATATTTAACCCAGGAATTGAGTGCTAGAATGAGTTAATCCGCATCGAGGAGTTATGTTGGTTCAGAACCAACAGGTCTTGAGAATGAGGGTGTACCAACTGCATGAGCTCGAACCAATAAAAAGAGTGGTTTCTAGGCAGAGAGAGGCGGTGATCCATAAATAGCACAATCTTTAGCCTTTTTTGGAATTTTTTCCATTTTATTTGTTTCACTTTCGTTGACTTTGGATTTTGCGATTGATTCTGAAGCAATTGCTGCCTTTGATGTGCTGTCGCTGCGGCGCAGCCCATGCATGGGTGAGGCCGTGAGGGTCAAATATGCCTTACAAGAAGAACCATGATCTACACCGAATTGTCAATTGAGAGATTGGAACCAATTAAGAGGAAGTAATTGAGTATCCGTAAATGCATCCTACGGTCTTCTTATTCACTTACTTGTTTCTAGCAGCAAATCCGTGCTGTCATTGGCTGACGCTCCCTCAATGTATCGGCTCATTTGACTCTGGCGGAATTGTTATCCGATAGTGGCTTCCGCCGCCCAGCATTAACCCGACAGTTCGTAAATCGGCTGACTGGTCTGATTACTGCCGTATCATTTGCCTATGGACTACGGAGCTTGGTTCTCATGCAAAGGCCCATCCTAAGTCATATCATCTTCGCATTAAACCTTTCTAGAACTTCTACTGTACTTTAGGATGGGGCCTCCGTTGCGCCACCTCTGCTGTCAACTGTACTTAGATGAACTCAATCGTAAGCTAGTGTTATTAGTGTGCTCAATTGATCCACAAACTGCAGGCATTGCAGGATTACACATTGTGAGCTTGATGACAGTCGTTCAGACTTCTACTGCTCGCACATTTCCAACGCGGCACAAAAACGTGTCGCGTATTCCATCTTTGGTCCTGGTTTCTCAGGTACATGTACTGCCCGAGCACGCGAGAACTGACGAAAAAGACCATGATGCTGCCGATATCAGCCCGTCAATGACTCAGGCAGCCCATTCCCTGTAGGAGCGGGGAAACGTTAAGCTTGATTACCCAAAAGTCAAGCTTATTATCCCACGTCCAAGAGAGTCGTTACGCAAGAATCTCTACCCATCAAACCCCATCAGGCAGGTGAATGAACACGCCGATCCCTCCCCGCAGCAAAGCCAAGTAGCCAAGCCAGCTCAGCCATTGGCCGAACCTGGGGAGCTTCCCAAGAGGGTTACAACGGCAAGGCATGACGACATTCGCGAGAGCTATCCCGAGCTCAGGATCGTAAGCTTACCGACTGGGAAGGGAAGTTCATCCATCATGATAAGAGCTTTGGCAAATCAAAGGCCAGCTTGGCCCGAGATGGGATCCTGTTTGTTGGGGATACCAAGGACCTAAGTGTTTGTTTATGCAATGGTTCCATTGTAAGGTAACATGACACTGCAGAATGGGGTTGGTCATGCTTGCGAGAGTTGCATTTATATCCGAAGCTTCCCATTGCTCCACGAGTCCTTCCCCTCCCAGGCCAAGTGTTTGAAGTTCAATTGCCATTGAGCCTTCATTATGCATTTCCGACAGCTCTCGACAATCGCAGCCTTCGCTGCTGGCGCATCTGCTTGCCAGCGCGATCTCGTTTTGGGCAAGCGACATACACATCGCCAGCCACTGACCAAGCGCAACGCCGATTGGCCTCCAGTCTTGACCGAGCAAGAAACTCTTCTTGTCAATTCCTTTGACAATTCGTCCATTGACAAGTGGTCTGACTACTACGGCCACCAGAATAAGCTGGCCGGCTACGGAAAGGAAGCTGCCCAGTGGACCGCTGATCGTTGGTCCGAGAGCGGATTTGATGCGCATCTGGCGGAGTACCATGTGTTCCTCCGATATCCAGTCAGTTCATCTCTCTACTTCACCGGCCCCAACGGCACAACCACCGAGGTGAACACCAAGGAGGAGGTGCTTGAGGAAGATGATGTTACAGGCTGGGATGTTCTTTCACAGCAGACCTGGTTGGCGTACTCGCCGACTGGAAATGCTTCTGCCGAATATGTTTACGCGGGGTAAGTAAGTTCCAAATGCATTCGGAAACTGATCACTGACTTTTGAACCCTAGCCGAGGTTCAATTGACGATTTCGATCGACTAGTCGAGCTTGGTGTTGACATCAAGGGCAAGATTGCTCTTATCAAATATGGTGGTCTGTTCCGCGGTCTCAAAGTCAAGAATGCCCAAGACCACGGCGCCATTGGTGCCATTATCTTTACCGACCCTGGCGATGATGGAAACATTACAGTTGCCAACGGGTACGAGGCTTATCCAGGTAAGGCTTCTCCCATGGAAGCTCTGAGGAGCCGATGCTAACTGAATTTCAGATGGCCCTGCCAGAAACCCCAGCTCTGTCCAAAAGGGCTCAACACTATTCCTGTCTACGCGTACCGGCGATCCCACAACTCCTGGCTACCCTTCCAAGAAGGACTCGCCTCGAGCTGACATCTCTGAGGTTATTGCCAAGATCCCAGCTCTACCGATTTCTTACTCGGCCGCCCAGCCTCTGCTACAGGCTCTCAATGGCCATGGCGTTACCGCTGAGAAGGTAAACCGCACTGCATGGACAGGCGGTCTCGATGCTGACTACAGCTCTGGTCCTGCACCTGGCGTAAAGCTCGCTCTCAGCACCGTCTCTCGTGATTCTATCGAGCCAGTACACAATGTCATTGGAGTGATCAACGGAACCAATGCCGACGAGACTATCATTATTGGAAACCATAGAGATACATGGATGGTCGTAAGTAAACCTGTAAGCAGATACTCAGAGTTCACGCTGACTGTTTAGGGCGGTAACGGAGATCCCAACTCTGGCTCTTCGATCCTCATTGAGCTTGCTCGCGCATTCAAGAAGCTCACTGATTCAGGCTGGAAGCCCAAGCGAAACATCGTTCTCGCCTCTTGGGATGCTGAAGAATGGGGCATCATTGGCTCCACTGAGTGGGTTGAGGAGCATGTCAACTGGCTGACCGACACCGCTGTCTCATATCTGAACATCGATGTCGCCGTCAGCGGTCCTCGACCTAACCTTGGTGCTTCACCTGAGCTTCATACCTTTGCTACCGAAGTTCTCAAGAAGGTCGTTGATCCCAACTTCGGTGGCTTCAATCAATCACTCTATGATGCTTGGCATGCTGCCAGCGAGGGAGACATTGAGATCCTAGGCTCTGGCTCTGATTACACTGCTTTCTTCCACCGCGGTATCAGCTCTCTTGATACTGGAAGCAGTGGAGGTGCCGGTGACCCCATCTGGCACTATCACTCCAACTACGACACCTATCACTGGATGTCGACCTTTGGTGACCCCGGGTTCCATGTCCACACCGCACAGGGTCAATATCTTTCCCTTCTGGCTTACCACCTGGCTACTGATGACATCCTTCCCTTCGATACTCAGAATTATGCCAAGGAGCTCCGTGCATACTTCGAGGATCTCTCAGAGTATGCCAAGAGCAAGGATGCCGACCTTGATCTCAGCGAGCTGGACGAAGCCATTGAGCACTTCAAGAAGAGTGCTGATGAAGTCAAGGCTCTTGAGAACCTCGCCCGTGAGCGCGAAGATGATGTTCTCAAGAAGGTCGTCAATCATAAGTACCGCGACTTCCAGCGAGGTTTCATCTCTCAAGGCGGCCTGCCTGACCGTGACTTTTACAAGCACGTCGTCAACGCCCCTGGCCTTGATACTGGATACGCTGCTGTGACCTTCCCTGGTATCACCGAGGGTGTTCAGTATGCTGAGGACGGTGACTTCTCCGTGGCTCAGGAATGGGTCAAGAAGACTGCTCGTGGTATTGTTGTTGCCGCGAACATCTTGAAGACATAGAAGGAGTTTAGAAAAGGTTGGAAGGGGAAAAGGTTCACTTCACGTCAATCATTTAGGAGCGTTATGATCTCATGTTTGTGATAATTATAGTACTTGCATAGCATTCTCAGGTGTTTTGGCTGGTGCCGGTTTGGGGTTTGGTCGAGCGGAGTTACATGGGCACAGTCATAAGGGGATAGGCAATGATAGAGAATCAAAAATGTGAGACGAAGATTCGAATGGCATTTATGCCAACTCTACGGCTGTTTGATGTTTGATCATTGCCGATAGTTCTTTGTCCAAGGACCCTCCATCGACCACATGAATCACCAAAATCAATCTGCCATGTGGGCAGTTTATACCAAAGTATCAGTGTGTATTTAAGCAGTACTTACGCATAATCCGGTTTCTCAGTATCGTTGAGGGATCGTATCTCCTCTTAGTTCTTGACGCGCGCCTGCGCATGTAGCCGTTCATAAGCACCAAGATCGAGAGTCTGTCGAGTCTCCAGCCAGAGGGCCTACAAACCCGCTATATCAGTTCTGCATTCATTTTGAGAAGAGTATTCACGTAAAACTTCAGGATGATCTGTATGAATTTAGTCGCATTGTGAGGAGAGCTTGATAGCTGGCTCCTCAAGCGAGCCTTCCAGGCGTCGGCTGGTTGGGTCTCCTGTACCCTTCCGCCGCAGCATGACCTGTTAATCATGCTCTATAACACGTTCTTCTCCTTTCCAAGATTTCTCTGATCTCACCAAGCCGCCGAGAAAACGTACGTAACTGCCGACGGGT